AAGCCCTAGGTCCTGCATTCAGGGGTGTGGTCACCACTGTCCCAACCTGCCCTATCGTGTTGGCTTACAGAATGGCAAATTCTGAGGCCATAGAGAACAACTGAAGGCCAGAGAGGAGACTTCTTAAAATGTCTTCACTTTTTGGCTTTCTGACATCATGTCAGGGTTCAATAACACTGATAATACACCTGTATTCCATATTAATATGTTAACTAAAGTAGCTAAGTGAATAGAAATATCTAAAGTTATAGGAGTGAGTCAAGATAACCACTTGGCATCCTAATGGCATCTTTTGCAAAATTATAATGAAAATGTATCAATTTAAAATTACAGATTATAGTTTTAAATTATATTTCACTTACATTTAACCTATATAACTGAGAGACTGTAAATGTTTGTGTTTGGATCCTGTGAATACATGTAAACTTACAAAGCCCAGGAGTTGTGACTGCAGGGTTTCAATGGCACAGCAACTCTAAGGGGTAGGCCAAACTTCTGCCCCAAGGATACAGAGATGATGAGCCTGACCTGGTCTGAAAATGTGGGTTGAGGAAGGGGGACCTACAGAGAGGAAGGTGTTTGGGTAAGTCAGAACAGAAGATTGGGCAATGCGTCTTCTTTCACTGAACATAACATTTTCAAAGTTAATTCATGTTATGAATTCATAGGTTAATTCATATAATGTATGAATACTTCACTCTTTTGATGGCTGAATAATATAACAGTGTATGTATTTTCTATGTTTTTGTGGAATCCTTATATGTACATACATACCACATAATAATTGATATGGACATAGATAGGCAAGTACTTTTTTGTGTGTGTGTGTTTCCACACACACACACAAAAACCTTCTCACTAGTAAAGAAAGAAGATGGCCATCAATAGGATGTGGTACCTGGAGGCTCAAAAATTGTTTTTCATCTGAAGTCTTCTGATTTTTGTTCTAGGGCTAAAGTTTAAAATAATAAGGAGATTGAGAGCTGTGAGGCTTGGAAAAAGTCAAGTGGGATGGGGAGAAACTGTTTCAGTTTTTTCCTCTCCTTCTTCTTTCAATTTTTAAAAATCTGTCAAATTAAAAGGGTAAAGCCATGATTTATTTGGGCATTCTTAGGGATAGTGGAGAATAATTAGATACAGATAACAGATAATGTTGGGGCTGGGCTGAGACAGAGACTTGGAAAAGTGGCAGTGATTCAATGAGAAGAAATATCTTAACCCCCAAGATAAACTATGTTAGCCTTCTGGGTCACACCTTCCTTATTCAATCTCCCTCTCAGATTCTTAGCCCTCAGTTGACAAGGCATTATTTCTTAATGAAGGTATATATGTATTACCTTCCTATTAACACATCCTATTAGTAAAGAATTACATTTTAAAAATGGACAGCAAGCCCTGGCTGGGTAGCTCAGTTGGTTAGAGCAATGTCCCCATATGCCAAGGTTACAGTTTCAATCTCCAGTCAGGGCACATACAAAACCACCCCTTTCTTTAAGAAACGTGGTTTAGACAAGGAATAAAGAAGCAAACATGAAATTTTTTTTGATATAACAAGAATAAGTATTCTCAGTACCCAAGAGGATGGATCTTTTATTGTGGGCAGAGTATGGGAGTGGACAGAGTTGAGGTGTGAACTGGGTTTTTAAGGATGAGTTGACCTTTGACTAAAGTTCAGGCTGAGTTGCTCTTCTGAGTCCCAGAGAACATTAGTCTAAGCTAATCTGTGGTGTGAATAATTAATGATTAGTGAGCAAGCTACCAAATTACTTAGCCATGTTTATATTTCTTTGAACGTTTATTAAAGAATATATAAATTAACATCTGTTAGATATAAGTAGAATTTTGACTTCTCATTTTAATGATGAATATAATTTTTAAATACAAAACATATTTGGATGGAAAAGAGTGCTCTGTTCCTATACAATTATCTACATTTTGTTGAAAGGATGTGCCCACCTATATATGTTGCTGTGTGTTAGCATCTCTGAACTTGGGTACGTACACATCTGTGATTATGGACATGTGTAACTGGTAATAAAAATAATGTCATTTCATGGAACTATAAATTTTTAGACATGGAAGTTCTCAGGGGTTCCCACTGTAAGAAAGATATTGCACTGGTAATCAAAATTGCATGCAAGGGATTAGGTAAGTCATTAGAGAGAAAATGCAAGTGAATACTGGGGAAAGTCCTATTTGGATGGTAGATTCCAGGTAAGTTGTCACATTTCCCTCAGTTAGTTTTTCTTGAGATGCTAGGGATGAGAAGGGATTTGAATAATAGGTAGAAGAAAGTGAGGTGGGTATTAGTATAGATTTCTAAACAAATAAGTCAAAAGTGGATTTTAGTAGAACATTTATTTTATTTTTTATTCACTCATTTGTATTCTATATTCCACCAGAAACATTTCTGCAAACCAATAAAAACTCTTTATAAACATGATTGTTAGTGACTGATTAATATTTGATAGTAAGTATATATAACATAGCATTATTTATTTACTAGAGGACCAGTGCACAACATTTGTGCACTGGAGAGGGGGTGTCCCTCAGCCCAGCCTGTACCCTTTCACAGTCCAGGACCCCTTGGGGGATGTCTGCCTGCTGGGAGCAGGCCTAAGCCGGCAGGCAGACATCCCCTGAGGTGTCCTTAGTGCTGCCAAGGAGGCAGGAGAGGCTCCTGCCACTGCTGCTGCACTCCCTAGCTGTCAGCTGGCTTCTGGCTAAGCAGCGCTCCCCCTGTGGGAGCGCACTGACCACTAGGGGGCAACTCCTGATGATCAGTGTGCATTATAGCAACCAGTCATTCCCCCATTCGGTCGATTGACATATTAGCCTTTTATTATATAGGAATGTCATTCATGCAGAATAGAAAAGCTATTTTCCTTTTTTTATGCTGTTTTAAGTAATTCTGGAGTTAATGACTTCTTTTTTCATAAATCTTTGTGCTCATTTCAGACTATTTCCTTAAGCTACATTCCAAGAATAAGCATTAGCAGGTCAAAGAGAATGAACATTATCAAGGCATTTGATTCATACGGCTAAATTCCAAATGATTCTACAGACGTATACTTTTATTGCAAGTATGTGATATATATATGAAAGACCATCTCAAAAGATAACAAGTTTGTAATCTTTGTTGATCAAAGATCTTTTTAGACGATTATTACATTACTCACAGTGAACAAAGAGTATAAAAATGTCAGCTAATTTATATTGTGAGTTGGAAAGAATTATATAAAAGTGGACATTATTTTATATCAGTAAGTGATAATGAAAATAAAATAGCCAATTAGGATCAGGACTAGGACATTTGAAATATCTTCCTCAAGTGTAGTCATAAGGCATGGTCCAATAGAAGCTGTCTCATCTGAGTCCCACTGCATGAGCTGAATCGCTTGCATGATTTATTTATTATTTCTTTTTAATTTATTTTCACCTAGAGTTGGCCTACAATATTATATTAGTATCAGGTGTACAACATAGTGATTAGACATTTATATACCTTACAAAGTGATCACACTGATAAGTCTAGCACCCATCTGACACCATACATAGTTATTACAATGTTTTGACTATATTCCTTGGCTGTGCTTTACATTCTTGTGATGATTTTAATAACTGCCAATTTGTACTTCTAAATCCCTTTCACCTTTCTCACTCAGCCTCCAAACACCACTCCCATCTGGGGACCAAGAATTTGAGTAGAACATTCATTTAAAGAAATTAGGACATGGGTGAGAATGACACAAGATCACTGGAAGATGTAGAGGATATGGTGAATATGAAATATGAAAAAATAACTATGAAAAGGGATTAAGTTGAGCTCAAATTGGAAACCTTTAGTTACATCCCTTGACAAGATTTGAAAACATCTGTTTAGCCCCTTCCAAAATTGGCCTGGTCCTCACTCCATAAATAATAGGATTGAGCATTGGTGGGATGACCACATAGAGATTGGCCAGAAGGATGTGGACATAGCTGGGGATGAGTCTCCCACCAAACCTATAGGCAAAGACAGAAAAGAGGGCAGGAATGTAGAAGAGTAGAATGACACACACATGGGAGCCGCAAGTGCTCAGGGCCTTGGACCGGGCATCTTGAGAAGGGAGTTGAAAGACAGCTCGAAGGATGCGGATGTAGGAAACGGCGATAAGGATGATGTCCAGGCCAGTGGAGAGCAGAGCAGCTGCCAGCCCATACCAGACATTGATGGAGATATCAGAACAGGACAGACGGGCAATGCCCATGTGCTCACAAAATGTGTGTGCAATGATGTTGATCCGGCAATAGTGCAGGCGCTTGAGGAGAAAGATGGATGGAAACATGATGATGAAGCTGCGGGTCAGGGTGGCAGCAGTGATCTTCCCAATGACCGTGCTTGTGAGGATGGTGGCATACCGCAGAGGGGAGCAGATGGCAACATAGCGGTCAAAGGCCATGGCCAACAGGACTGCAGAGTCGGCCACAAAGAGGAAGTGGATGAAGAACATCTGGGTGAGGCAGCCATCAAAGGAAATGTGGCTAGAACCTAACCAGAAGTTGACCAGAGCTTTGGGCATCGTGGCAGTGGAGAGCAAGACATCAGCACTGGCCAACATGGACAAAAATATGTACATGGGCTCATGCAGGCTTGGCTGGGAGAGAATAACACAAATTAAAATGCTGTTGCTTACCAGGGCAGCTACATACATGGCACAGAAGGGGATGGAGAGCCAGATGTGTAGATACTCCAGCCCAGGGATGCCAATGAGGAGGCAGCCTGCGATGCGAGTGTCTGAGTTGTTTGTGGCAGTTATGCTGTTAGTAGATAAGAGAGCCATGATTTTCTGTAGAACCCTCACCTGTGCCACAGGGGAGAAATAGCTTCAGGGTTTGTAAACATTAGCAGAGTGCACATAAAAGCTTGCAAACAACCACAAGGTCTGCACATACTCACAGGTCCTCCAACCATTGTGGGCTTTGCACACAGGTATATTCCCTATAGACAATCACACATGAGTTGTGCACAAAGTGCACAGTTACAGGCCCATAGATAGGTTCTCCATACAGCTGCAAGACTTTCTGGAAACACAAGGCTCGAAAACATTACCAGACTTAGCAGAGTGCCACAGGTTCTGAAAAGAGCAGGATTAACTAGAAAGTAAAAAACAATCTCTTTAATCTCTATGGGTACAGTTTTTTGCAGTTTTATAAACTGCAAAAGCCTCTGGCTGCAGTCCCATGTCAGAATCTGCTCTGTCAGACAGTGTGATTTTGGACAAGTCACTGTCTTCTGAATAACAATTTTTTTGACCTTTCAAAAAATGAGCATAATGCTCGTCTTGTTGGTGTGTTAAATTAAATCTCAGCTGTGGAAACGTTATTAAGCTGTGTGGTGCTTCCTGAGTCACCTCTGTGACTCTGAAGTGTGGGGCTGTCACCTAGAACATGAAAGAAGGTGTAGAGCGATGCTTCTGAAAGTGTGGTGTCCAGGCCAGCATCATCAGCAACATTGGGGAACTTACAAATTCTTGGACCCTCCTGCCCTTGGGGTTGGAGACAGCATTCTATGTCTCCATGCTAAATGAGTCACCTCTGTGACTCTGAAGTGTGGGGCTGTCACCTAGAACATGAAAGAAGGTGTAGAGCGATGCTTCTGAAAGTGTGGTGTCCAAGCCAGCATCATCAGCAACATTGGGGAACTTACAAATTCTTGGACCCTCCTGCCCTTGGGGTTGGAGACAGCATTCTATGTCTCCATGCTAAAGTTTATGAATCACTGATGTAAGAAGTTTTTTACTTTCTTCCCAGTCTATTCTACAATCTACATGTCCATGTCTTCTGCCAGGACCAATAATGTCTCAGTGCTAATTGGTTTCTTCATTCTCTATGAAAATGTTCAGGCTTCAATGAAATCTAACCAGTGTTTTCTTCATCACTTAGCTAGGATGTGAAGGAAATGACACAACCATACAAATACACTCAATTACATGTTAGGCCCATTGACTCTTACTAAGTTCTATTGAATTATTCTCACAATGAATATATAACGTTACCACTGCCCAAATGAACATTCCTCCCTTTCAACTGAATTTCCCTCATACATAATGGAGACTTCAAGACTATCAGGAGATAACCGCTCATATTATTCCACTCTTGTAAATTTATCTTATCTCTGTACCCGTCCTCCTCTCATTTCCTCTATTCTCAGAGAAACTAGTGTTGATGTCCCTTCGGCCTTTCAATGTCTCCCTTGTTATAGTTATATTTTACTCTACCTAGGAACAAGAAAGCTCCCTAAGGTTATTTATTTATTTTTTATTTATAGAGTGCAAAGATAAAATAAGTCAATTGTATTTTTCTACACTAACAGCAAATAACTATACAATCACATTTTAAAAGTTTGTAGTGCAATACAAACATAGAAGCATAAGAAATGTATGTTAAAAATATAATACACTTAGCTCAAATTTGCAAAGCTCTACACTGAGAATTATAGAATGTTGCTGGAAGAGATTTCTTTTTAATGTAAACAAATGGAGATATATACCATGTACACAGAATGGGAAGACCAATAGATTGTTAAACTATTGATTTTTATCAAAAATAAATTGATAGTTAGTTTTTTATTTAATTTGAAATTTTTAGCTTTGTTGAGGCATAAGTAATAAATAAAAATTATATCTATACAAAGTGTAAATATAACTTAATATATGAATACATTTTGACATTATTACCACAATCAAGTTAATTAACACATCAATCACTTCACATAGTTACCTTTCTTTTTTGTGGCCTTAAATTATTTTTATTTTTCCTTTTTATTGAATTTATTGGAGTGACACTGGTTAACAAAATTATATAGGTGTAAGGTGAATAATTCTACAACACACCATCTGTACAGTGTATTGTGTGCTTACGACCCAAGTCAAGTCTCTGTCCATCACCTTTTGTTCTCCCTATACTCTCCTCTACTCCCCTCAGTCCCCTTCCCCTGACAATCACTGCACTATGTGTCCAAGAGTTTTTTATTTATTTATTTTGTTTTCTTTTTTGCTCAATCCTTCCGCCCCCCAGCTCCCACTGCCCCACAAACACAGCTGTAAGGCTGCTCTCTATAAATCTGTCTCCATTTTGCTTGTTAGTTCATTTTGTTCATTAGATTCCATATATGAGAGAAATCATACGACATTTTTCTTTCTCTGACTGGCTTATTTCACTTAGCTTAATGCTCTTTAGGTCCACACGCACACACATGTAAACACAAACACATATCGTCAGATGCAGTCATGTATATGTTTATATATGCATGCATATGTTATAAGTTTGTATGTATGTATATCTTCAAGAATAATTTCCCCACCTATTCTCTGAGTTCTTTTTCTTTCCTACCTCCTCAGGGACTTTGTTTCATCAATTATTCCCCTCTTCTTTACCCCCAGTTTGTCCTAATTTCCTAGATCATTATCTTTATTATTTATGAGCATTCAAATATTTTTAACCTTGAAAACAAATGAAAAGTTAACAGCAAAAATAAAAAAAAAATATTGTATTCTGCTAACCTGTCTCACTACTTCCTGTCCGTCTCTCTTCTTTCCTTCAGAATCATGCCTTTCACGAAACTCTAGGTTTGGCTTTGATTTTTCTACTCAGCTCTAGTTCTTCTCTTGTCCCTGACCTTCCTTTCCGGTCCTCATTAAGGGCTCCTCCGTCCCTGCTGGACGGCTCACCAAGGCGTTTCCTATTGCTCTGTTTCTAGGCTCCCTCACTCTTCACTGTCCCTGGCTGATCTTTCCACCTGCCTTGGCTTCATTTACCCTCATGTACTAATACCTCCCAAATCTATATTTGCTACCTATATTGCTTTTTAAGCTTCAGATCCATTTACTGAAAGACCTCCCAACTGATTTCCTCACCTGCAGTTTTTCCAGGCTCTAAACCAGTCTCCACATACAGAGTGGGGCAAAAGTAGGTTTACAGTTGTTAGTATGGAATCTAATACAATAATTAATAAACAATAATACAAACATAAACTCTGTATTTCACATACTCACAACTGCAAACCTACTTGTGCTCCACCCTGTATAAATTATATTTCAAAGCTAATTCGGAGCGTACTACTTAGTTGACAATAGAGAATAATTTCCCATTGTCAAATAGATTAAGTGCACACATTCTCTGCTTTGTCTACCAATACTGGACAAATGCATGTCTCTGAATTTGCTCTTCTTTCTCTGTAATCTTTTATTTATTTTTATTTTAAAAAATATGTCTGTATTGATTTCAGAGAGTAAGGGAGAGGGAGAGAGAGAGATCGAAACATTAATGATGAGAAAGAATCATTAATTGGCTGCCTCCTGCATGACCCCTACTAAGGATTGAGCCCACAACCCGGGCATGTGCCCTTGACCAGAATTGAACCCAGCACCTTTCAGTCGGCAGGCTGATGCTCTATCCACTGAGCCAAACTGACTAGGACTGTGGTCTTTTATACAATCAACTTCCTTTATCTTCATCTTTCTTTTTAATGTAGCAAGTTTATATTTCTCACTCAGGAAGACATTCCTCATTTCCCAAGGCTGGGTTATGCCTACATTGCCCTGCAGTTACCTATTTCTCTCTCTAGCATTCACCACACTTGAAATATTTTCAGTCCCAATATATGATGAGCTCCTTAAGAGTCAGCACTGTGTCTTGTTCACTGGTGTGTGGAATAGAGATGATATGTAGTGAATGTTTTAAAAAATCATAGAATAGGAAAGTCCCCACCCACTCAGCCATGTAAAGTTCACACTGTCAAAGACACATACACAGATAAAAATCACAGGTTTATAGTAACATTCTCATCTCAGCTGTAGTCTGTGCCGTTTGTTGTGCTCACTCTTCCCAGAGCATCACTCATCATGCTCATCTTCCTCCACTGCACATTCCCACCTTTGTCGGTCACGTCAGCACCTGCATAAACTTTTCTCTTTCTGATTTCAGTTCTCCTAAATCATCCACCTCCAAGACAGCCTTTGTTCACAGCATCTCCCTACCATTTATCATGTGATTTCTGTTTTTACTCCAATTAGGCACCCATTGAAGTCACCATACCCCCCCACTAGACAACAATCCAAAGAGCTCCACTTACAGTTGTCTCTCTGGCAGCCCCCTTTTCAGATCTTCCATTCATATGCCCAGTGCCCTTACCCACTGGTTGATGCTTCTATCATCTTTGGAAAAATTACCAGAAAAACTATCCCTTCTAGTCCAGTGAATTCATTTTCCCATCTGTCTTTCAATCCTTTACCTAACTTCACCATCCAGAAACCTTGTTCTTTATAAGTTGTCCCCCAAATGCAGTAGAATAACTGTTCTTTCTGTTGTTCCTCAGTGTCTGAGGATAGAACCTCTATGTCATTTATGATTCTTACATCCTTCTTAGGAGCCAAGTATGACGTGCACTGACCACCAGGGGGCAGATGATCTTTCAATCACCTACTCATCAATCTCTCCATCCTCACCAGGGAAGTAACCCTCCAAACTGCCCTTCTCCCATCTCACTCTTCAGGAAAACACAGTTCAATCCAGACAACCTAGATAATTCTTTAGCCCTCCACCCTTCCTTGAACATTGCTATAGAGCTGTCCATTCATCTGGTACTTATTTCCTATCAATTCCTCCACATCTATAATCTCCTCTCCATCCTGAAAATTTCTGACCTAGATTTACCTCCTTGATGCCACATTCTCAGACTCACAGTGTCTCAGTTCAATATTTCACACACAGCTTAACTTCCTTAATATATAGAATTGAATCTCAGGTCTTGCTTCATACGATGTTTATTCCCTCCTGTCCTTTGGGAGCAGAGATTCCCCTCCCTCTTTTTATCTTTCCTTCCCTCAGCTACAAATTCCTCCTCCACCACTTAGGCAAGTCTGCCTTCGTTCAAATGGGAATTTAAGGCACATAGGGATATGTTTTGGCAAAGAGCCAGATGGAACAGATACACTGTTAGACACTCTGAGCATCTAAGGGGGATGGTCAGCACCAACTCAGAGGCTCTTAGCCTAAACGTTTTCATTGAACTTGCTTTTGCATTTCCCATTTCAATATTACCCTCCATACGTTCACTCCTCCTCTTTCTTCCCATTGTCCTTCCTATAGCATTTTTCTTTCAGGCTTCTTTCACTTATCACCTACCTAGAGTTTATTTTTAAATCCCTAGTTCTTTTTTCTTTTTTTTTCTTTTTTTCCCTCATTGCTTTCTCTTTATCCTTTCACTAATCCTAAGATCTATCATATTTATATGTCATCATAACAGAAAGGATATATGGAAATTATCACCCCAGTCTTATTCAAAAATTTGATAAGCCTGGATTTATCTGTTCTTTGGGTCAGAATTTCAGGTCAATGTCCCCTTACTATGACCAGTAATTATAATACAGCAGTGGGTACAGAATGCTGTGGGAGTCCAGAGACCAGAAGAATAATTCTTCCTGGTCTTTGTTGGGGAGGCTTTATAGACAGTCCCACTGAAGTTGGGATTAAAACAATTGTGTGTGTGTGTGTGTGTGTGTGTGTTTGAGTTGAGGGATAAGATGGAAACTAGATTACTAGAACCAGAGAGAGAGAGAGAGAGGATAATTGTGAGAGCCAACTGAGACAATGAATGTGAAAGGATTTCACAAATAAGATAAAGATAAATAGTGGTGGTAATGCTTTGGAGAATTTGAGTTGAGGGATAAGATGGAAACTAGATTACTAGAACCAGAGCAGAAACCAAGAAACTAAAGACTAGTATTCAGAAGATAGAAAATAGTATCAATCAGTCTCAGGTTCTTCTAAAATGAGAATGACTCCCCTCTCTGAGCCAGACCTTACTTAATTTTGTGGGTCTGTTTGTTAATTGAGAAAACGTTTCCTTTCTGAAATAGCTTTCAGTATATTCCTTAGGCTGTTCAACCATGGTCACTACCAAATGTCCTTTTGCTATTCCAGAGTCCCACTCAGGAAATCTCTTTACTTTTAGTTGTCATGTCTATGTAGGCTCCTCTTTACTATGACAGTTTAGTTTTCAATCCATTGTTATATTACTTCAATTTTTAAAACGGCTTTTTGTGTATTTTTATTTTAAAATGTTAAATTTTTTCTTTCATATTGTCGGAATGGGTGAGATTGGTGTTGTGTGCTCAATGTGATTTTCCCCCATGAAATTCCAACTCTGACTTGTTGAAATGAGAGAAAGTCAGTTTCATGTAAGGAGCTCAGAGATCTGAGCACTCACTCACACAGCCAGGCAAGATAATAAATACAATTTTACGGAAACAGAAGTTTATTTTACCCAATTTTACCTGCCACAGTTGATATACCAAGCTAATTGGTGTACACCCACCTTTAAAACTCTGGTCTATTTTGCTCTGAGGCATCCTGGACTTGGTCTGGTTCAGTAAAATGGAAAGAGTAGTTAGCATCACAAAATTATAATGTATCTTCAGCTCTTTCTGCAGATGCAAAACTTGCTTTGTGTTATGTATTTGTTACACGGTTAGAAAGACAATCCACAAACAAAAAACCTATGTAAAACACTGAGAGCTATAGTATTTTAGGGGAGGAGTGGCAATACATGAACAAAATCAATAAAATGAAAGGAGAATAAGGAAGTGATAATATTAAGAATAACTTAGGTTTCTACCATAAACAGCTGGATATTAACCATACATTTCCAGTCACATGGTAAGCATTCAATGAATATGCAGTGGCCTAAGGGAGTGATTTATGTAAAGATTTAATTTTATACATCTTAGTCAGAAGTCACTGAGTTTCTTCGGTTCACAAAGTATCTCAATGCAATGACAAGGAGAGACTAGAAAGCCCCATTCAGTGAAATAGAATATTTTGTAATAAAACCCTAGTATGCCAATTGACCAAACAGCAGAATGACTGGTCACTATGACGTGCACTGACCACCAGGGGGCAGATGCTCAAGGCAGGAGCTGCCCTGGTGATCAGTGTGCTCCCACAGTGTCTATAAATGACTCATCGACATAGGCCATACCCTGAAGAATCTCAGCACTCCCTGGTTTTTCTCCTGAGTCTAAAACTCTGAATCATATCCCATGTGCATGTGATTAAGATTAAAAAAATGTTAATGTAAACATTTATTATAAATACTAATGATATTGACTGGGGAGTAGAGTCCCTGGAATCCCCCTAGGTTTTAGGCCCCTCATTTTTCAGTCTCTTCATCCCCTGAGAAAACCAATAAAAGATAAAAAGGCTATGCTCTGCAGGTGTGTCTCTCCCCCAGCTAGAACTAAATGTCTTTCTCCCTGTGCCTCACCTGCTCTGTGCCCTTTCTTTCTTTCTTTTTCTATGTCCCTCCCCCCACCCCCAGTCGTGTTATGTTCCCTTCTGTATCTCTGTTCTCATCCTGGAGTTATCCTCTACCAGCCATCTACTGGCTTTCTAACCCAGCACCAACATCAAAACTAGTTGTCTGTGAGTATTTTCTGGATGTGGTAATGGTGATAGTGGGAGAAGTCTTGGGAAAGCAGAATGAGAAAGAGCAGGCTGTGTTAAAGGACCTTCTGGTCGGCAGAATAATAGAGCCCCTCAGAGATATACACAACCGAATCTCTGGAACCTGTACATGTTATTTATATGGCAAAGAAAATTTATGTAGATAATCAGCTGATTTAAAATAAGGGTATTATACTGAATTATCTGGGTGATTCCAGTATAATCACAATGGTCTTTAAAAGCAGAAGAAGGAAATAGAAAAGTTTAGAGTCAGAGAGATATGAAGTCACATTTCTAAAAAGTTTAGAGGAAGATTAAATCTACTGTTATTACCTTTGAAGATGGAAGAAGAGTCAATAAGCCAAGGGAATATATATATATATATAGCAGTGACTGACTTGAAATATCAATTTTCTACTGAGACTGTATTACTGATTATTCTATGTGAAATCTTGCCTTCTTCCATGCTAGAAGAAACACATGGAGACAGAAATTATATTCTCAAGAAGAGTTCTTAATCATTAATGCAGGGTTGGCCACATATCTGGGAAAAAGAATTCAAGAGAATAGTAAAAATAATGCAAAGCTTCATACAAACATCTGATTGTTTGGTAAATATATGGATAACCCATGAACACAGATGAGAGTGTGGTGAAGGCCTGGGAGGTAGGTTTGGGGTGGAGGGATAAAAGTGGGATATCTGTAATACTTTCAAAAGTAAAGATATATTTAAAAAAAGAACTGTGATTGCACAAGCAGGGCAATAGAGACATGGTTTAGTAAAACTGGAGAAAGTTTCCTGGAGACATTAGCACTTGTCAGGGTCAGAGCAATGAGTAGAATTTAGTCATAGTGAGAAAAGACAAGATTGCATCTATGGAAAAGGCAGCAATACCAGCAATGGGGTGTAGGAGTGATGGAGAAATACGGGGAGTCCTCTATGAATACATTTTAGGGAAGAATGTGAGACACATTCATATAAGTAGAGCCACTCTATATAGGGAAAGCATTGACTGCAAAACAGGAAATAAAAATAATTGCTGGCACAACAGGTGCAATTACATGCTTTTAAGCAATGTGAGTGTTTTGGTAATTTTATATTTTAAAGAGATCAATATGGTAGCATCAGAAGAGAAGGGTTTGCAATATATTCTTTTTTTTAAAGTGTTTTTATTGATTTTAGAGAGGAAGGCAGCAGGAGGGAGAAACACTGATTGGCTGCCTCCTACAGGCCCCCTTCTGGGGATCAAGCCTACAACCCTGGCATGGAAAGAACCAAAATTCTTTTTTAAAAAGTGTTTTTATTGATTTTTGAGAGAGGAAGGGAGGGGGAGAGAGAAACACTGATTGGTTGCCTCCTACAGGCTCCCTTCTGGGGATCAAGCCTACAACCCTGGCATGTGCCCTGACCAGGAATGGAACTGGTTTCTTTTTGGTGCATGGGATGATGCTCAAACAACTGAGCCACACCAGCCAGGATAGAACCAAAACTCTTATTCTATGGTTCCAACTAGTGAGTAAGATGATTGAGTAGATGAGGAAGTAGAGAAGAAAAAGAAGTAGGCCGATCAAACAGGGATTTCAAATAAGGATCAGAAGAGCTGGCAGATGAGAGATAGGGGCTGAAGGAGGAAGAAGGGTTACCACCAACTCTCAGATCACTATGTTCTAGCAGTGGGAGAGCAATGTGATAACATATGGGGTAGCTGATCAGGAAGTTGGCAGGTAGAAGAAGATAATGAGCCTTGGAACACTGTTTCTGAGTTGAAAAGAATATTTAGATAGAGATTGTCTTCCAGATATTGAAGAGGTGAGAGTAAATTCTGAGCAGTAGTAGATTGACTCACCAGAGTCCTAGTGATACATTGACATTAAAAAAAGCAAATTTTATAATTAACACATGGCCCCTTATTTATTTAAATGGATATTCTTGAGATTTATGTCAAGTAGGATATTTAATACATCTTTGAGAACCCTCAAATGGAGTTATTTGGTGAGAGCAAGACAACCTTGGAATTTTAATTGACAACAAAGGGCCAATATGCTCCTAGGTCATAGTTCTATTGGGACATGGTTCCAATATAGTAACAATGCAGTTATGGTAAGGTAATATTTATACATGGGTAATAATTAAGGTTTTTGGGAAGCTTTTAGTAAATGCTATAGAGGTTGTGAGAAGAAGTAAATTGCATTTTTAGAATCTTCTAGTGTTTGTTAAGAGATAGGACAGGAGGTATCCCAGTGATGGAAAAGACTTAAAAAAGGATTTTGTGAACAGTCAGTCCCCAGAATTAAATGTGGTATTTTGTCCTCAGGGAATGAAAATCAACATGATGACCACATTGAATTTGACAACTTTTAATCCAAACTCCTTCATTTTGGTGGGGATCCCAGGACTGGAGCAGTTTCACATCTGGATTGGAATTCCTTTCTGTACCATCTACTTTGTGGCCCTTGCAGGTAATGGCATTCTTCTCTACCTCATCGCTATGGACCGCAGCCTCCATGAACCCATGTACTTCTTCCTCTCCATGTTGGCCTCTACGGACCTCATATTGTGCAACACATGTGTCCCCAAAATGCTTGGCATATTCTGGTTGAAAGCTCGGAAAATCACATTTTCTGGCTGCCTCACCCAGTTGTTCTTTCTCCACTTCAGCTTCTTTCTGGACTCAGCCATATTATTGGGTATGGCATTTGATCGCTACCTGGCCATTTGCTCCCCCTTGAGGTACAGCAGTGTCTTGACACCTAGAACAATGGTCAAGATCTCGCTAGGCATTGTTGGTCGGAGCTTTAGTATCATTTTTCCTGTCGTTTTCCTGGTGAGGCGTTTGCCCTTCTGCAGGACACGTATCATCCCTCACACATACTGTGAGCACATAGCGGTGGCCCGGCTCTCCTGTGCTAGTATCTCCATCAACATCTGGTATGGCTTCACTATGCCTCTAATGGCGATTATGTCAGACCTGATCCTCATTGGTATTTCCTACACTCTCATTCTTCGCGCTGTTTTTCACCTTCCGTCTAGAGATGCCCGCCAGAAAGCTCTCAGCACCTGTGGGTCTCATGTCAGTGTCATTCTCATATTCTACACATCAGCCTTGTTCTCTGCCCTTACACATCGCTTCGGCCACAGCATCTCTCTCGCCTTTCACATCATGTTTGCTAATCTCTATGTAGCAATCCCTCCTGCACTCAATCCCATCATTTATGGTGTAAAAACAAAGCAGATCAGGGACAAGGTTGTCCTTCTACTCTTTCCTAAAGGGAACAGTGACCTGGGGATGAGGGCATAGAAAATAAGATTGTGGAAAGTCAAGTAATTATATTTATTTAATATAATTTATTTGTCAGACAGAGAAAAACAAATACCATATGATTTCACTTATGTGTGAAATATAAATAACAAAATAAATAAACAAAACAGAAACAGACTCATAGATGCAGAGAACAAACTGATATTTGCCTGATAGGAGAGGGGCTGGGGGCTTGGTGAAAAATATGGGATTAAGAAATACAAATAGGTAGTTAAAAAATAGTCATGGGGATGCTAAAACCAGCATAGGGAACACAGTCAATAATATTGTAATAACCATGCATGATGTTAGATGGCTGCTAAAATTATGGGTGGGGACCACTTTGTAAATTACATAATTGCCTAACCATTATGCTGTACACTTGAAACTAGTATAAAGTAGTGAATGTTGACTGTAATTGAAAAATAAAATAGAAAACCACGATGACAACACAAAATAGAATTTCTTATGTAAATCACTAGCAGAAAGCCCTCCAATAATGTATCCAATGGTTATAAATTTCAAGACTTCATTTCTCTTGGAAAAAATAATTGATAGAATTAAAGAAAGAGAGGTAAGGATTATTCAAGTCTCAAGAAAATGATAGG